AGTTGGAGGTTGCTGTGAGCTGTAATGCCACGGCACTCTACCCAGGGGGACAGCTTGAGGCTCTGTCTCAAAAAAAAAAAGAAAATTACACACTAAAATATTAGGAATGAAGGGCTGTGATATATATATTACCCTCAAATGGTTTATGAAAAACTTTATGCATATATACACATATACCACATACATGCATGTATATATCCATACATATATAAATAAATCACATGTATATGTATATATAGAAAGTATTCTCCATGTCCAAGTAAAAAACAAATTATGCTAATATGAAAAGAAATATAGTGTGAACATAATTCTCTATTTTTATGAAGAAAACTGAAACATAAACAAACAGTGGATGCAATATAAATGTCCCCATTGTCATATGAGAAGAGATCAGAGCAGAGTGCTATGGTACCCCAGAGAAGGATGTGGAAAGGCAGCCCTTAAACTCAAGATTTTGTAGGGAAACCTGGTCCTTGTGCAGAGATGTGGGACCCTGCAGGCTAAAGGGTGGCACAAGCAGGCGCCTCAAGGCCAACCTGAGGTAGACATAGCTCCATCTGACCAGAGGTTTGGAGAATGGGAGACAGAGGGCAAGCAGAGGAGCACAGGATTGAAAACCTTGGCTGGGAACAGATCAGCTGGACCTGGACTTTAGGTATCTTTGGCCTTTTTTGAGCAGAAATGGTGTGTGAACAGAATTGTGCTTTAGAAATACTAATCTAGAAGCCATATGTCTGAAGGATTAGAATGGGAAAAGGTCAGAGATGACTCGGGTCCATAGGAGAGGCCCAGGATGGAGACTGGAGAAGCCAATCTGGAGCAGAATTTGGCAGAACTTGGGTGAGAAATGATCTTACTGCATGGGGCTGAGAGGGTGGTGTGTGTAGAGGAGGAAGAGATAGCAACCAGAAGGGCAGTTGGTCTTCAGCTGTCAGCCAGATGGTTGGAGCAAGAGCACGCTTGAAGCCAGTAATAAGGGCAGCTTGGGGTTAGCTGAATGTGAGTCACCAAAGGTTCTACTGCAGGGCTGCCTTTGGGAACCTTATCATAGGGCGAGAAATCAGGGTTGTAGTATAGAATAGGAGTTGTCCCCCAGGCTTGCTGTTGAGTCAGTCACTGTGCTGTCAGGAGTCACTAGCCTTGGGGCCTTTGCTTTAGGTTGGGAGGCTGAAGATTGCCTCTGCCTAGGGGAAAGGTCCTTTGGATATTTGAAAACTAGAGGACCTTGTAGACAGCCACTTTGAGGAATTATGGATGTGTGAAGCTGTCTATGAGAAGTTGAAAATTGTGGCTTGGCGCATCTAGCTCAGCAGTTAGGGTGCCAGAACCATACCCTGGGGCTGGGGGGTTCAAACCCAGTCCAGGCCTGCCAAAGAGCAATGATAACTACAAAAACAAAAACAAAAACAAAAAAACCCAGGTGTTGTGGTTGCCTGTAGTCCCAGCTACTTGGGAGGCTGAGACAAGAGAATCTTTTAAGCCCAAGGGTTTGAGGTTGCTATGAGCTGTGATGCCAGGGTACTCTGTTGGGGGCAACATAGTAAGACTCTGTCTCAAAAAAAAAAAAAAAACTAAACTAAAAACCAAAAAAACAAAATGTTGAAAATTGCAGGCTCAGCCCATCTCCTGTAGCTCAGCAGTCAGGGCACCAGCCACATACGCTGAGGCAGGTGGGTTTGAACCTGGCCCAGGCCTGCTGCATGACAACTGCAACAACAACAACAACAACAACAACAAAAAACAGCCGGGCATTGAGGTGGGTGCCTGTAGTCCCAGCTACTTGGGAAGCTGAGGCAAGATAATCACTTAAGTCCAAGACTTTGAGGTTGCTGTGAGCTGTGACTTCATAGCACTCTACTGAGGGCAATAGAGTGAGACTGTCTCAAAAAAAAAAAAAGAAAATTGCAGGCTCCATTTTGCTCACTTCTGATTTCTCCTGAGTTAAGTGAGGAGCAGAGTTAAGATGATTTGGAATGATCTCCCGAGTGAAAACCAAAGAGCAGAATTATAAATGGTATGCTAACATTTATTAATAAATAATGGGAGACTTTCCCAAACACCGCTGCTAAACAGTCACCATGTCCTCCCAACAAAAATTCATAATTGTCCTCTAGTTGGCCAGTTAAAACTACGTGCCCCTCCCAGCAGGAAGAAATTACAGAAGAGAGAACTCTACGTCCCCTATCCCAAGGCCAAACCCCTATTTCTATATATCAAGAAGGGAGGAATGTTAGATAATTGCCTCAGAAAGCCGCTTCCCCCAAAAGACCCTTCCTACTCTAAAGTTACAACTCCCCAAACATAGGGAGTGGCTTACCTCATCATTCTGTTCTAATTACCCGCTGCCTGCCCCTAACGACTCTTTCCGCGGAAGCAATAACTCCTCATTGGTTATCCCACCATCCCGTCACCATTCTGAGACTTCCCTATATAAGGGTACATTTCTCTCCCCCCATCTCTCCCCACCTTTCTCCTCTGCTCTCTCTCTCTCTTCTCTTCCCCACTCTCTCCTTATCTCTTTCTCCTCTTTTCTCTCCTCTTTTCTCTTCTCTTATCTCTCCTCTTTGCAGCCTCCCTCCCCCACCAATAAAGACCTTTCATACAAAAAAAAAAAAAAAGAAATAATGGGAATGGGGAATGACTATATATATAGATTTAATTTTTTATTTACAGAATATATTTGGAAAAACAAAAACTGGTAACACTGGTTTTTGTGGAGAAAGAAATTTAAGTTTTTTTTTGGTTTGTTTTTTGTTTTTTAGATGGAGTCTCACTATGTTGCCTTCTGTAGAGTGTGGTGGCATCACAGCTCACAGCAACCTCAAACTCTTGGGCTTAAGTGATTCTCTTGCCTCAGCCTCCCAAGTAGCTATGACTTACAGGCTCCTGCCACAATGTCCGGCTATTTTTTGATTGTAGTTATCATTGGTGTTTAGCAGGCCTGGGCTGGGCTTGAACACGCCACCTTTAGTGTATGTGGCCGGTGCTGTACTTACTGAGCTACAGGCGCTGAGCTGGAAATTTAAGTTTTTATTTGGTTTTGCATTTGCAAGATATTCCCATTGCAAGGGTACTACTCCAAATAATTAAAAACTGGTAGGACACTGACACTGACCAGTCAGAATGGAAAACAACCAGTATGCTGGCTTATACATACCAGCCAGTATCTGCTCTGTTCTCATGGGTCAGAAAATGAAGCCAGGTAAAAAATATAGATTGAAAAATCTCCCATTCTGGCAGCACCTGTGGCTTAGTGAGTAGGCCACTGGCCCCATATACCGAGGATGGCAGGTTCAAACCCAGCCCTGGCCAAACCGCAACAAAAAATAGCTGGGCGTTGTGGTAGGTGCCTGTAGTCCCAGTTACTCGGGAGGCTGAGGCAAGAGAATCACCTAAGCCCAGGAGCTAGAGGTTGCTATGAGCTGTGACGACA